TGTACTTGTTGATTGATTGTATGTCCTCCTCTGAGAAGTGTCTGTTCAGGTCCTTGGCCCATTTGTTGATTGGGTTATTTGTTTTCTTATTGTTTAATTTTTTGAGTTCTTTGTATACTCTGGATATTTGTTTTCCTTTTTTAAAAATCCCTAATTTTGTAGAGCCATCTTTATTTTCATAATCAACAGGGATTTTTGTTTGTTTTGTAGTATTGAAGATTAAACTCAAGGCTTACACATCAATAACAGTTCTTCTGTTTGTTTGTTTGTTTTGTGGTGCTGGGGATTGAACCCAGGGCCTTGTGCATGTGCGGAAAGCACTCTACCAACTGAGCTATAGCCCCAGCCCAGTTTTTTTTTTTAATACCTTTATTTTATTTATTTATTTTCATGTGGTGCTGACAGTCAAACCCAGTGCCTCACATATGCTAAATAAGTGCAGTACCACTGAGCCACAATCCCAGCCCACACATCAATAGTTTTGAATTTAGTTTTCTATGGTTAAAACTAGAAATTCTCTACTGCAAATTTGACCTTCAATAAGCTCAATATCAAGCCAAAATAAAAGACTGTATACATCATATATAACAAGAAGAATGAGAAATTACACTCCATTATATATGATGTATCAACGTGCATTGTGCTGTCATGCATAACTAATTTTAAAACAAATTTATTTTTGTAAAAAAGACTGTAGTTTGTAAAGAGAATATATATGTATAGTTTATGTAGTAAAAGACTGTGACAAATTATGTAATGTAAGGATAGCATCATTTTTATTACATGCCATATTGGAGAATATTTACTTTGAAAGTCCCATCTTTTAGCTAATCTTTTTCCATTGCTGGGATTTTAACATAACTGGGACAGTTCATGGACCTAGGTGGGCCTTACAGTAATCTAATTGTGTACATTACATAGGGGCCTCCTGAGAAAGAACTTAACCAAAATGAAGAAATTGCGTATAAGGAGCTTGACCTCAAAAATTCTCTAAGGTTAGAGGGAAAGAGTGATTCTGAGTATTTTCTCTTTCTTGGATTTGCCTTTGCCCAGCTTTTATGGATTCATGTCTGTGTTTTAAGGAAAGAAAAGGCTTTAAGTAAAACATGAAAGAGATGTTTTCTTTAATAAGTATATTTATGAAGATATCTGAAGGATAATAATTCATCTATTCCTTAGTCTGTTTAATCTAAGGTAATGCCCGACCAAGAAAGTTTCCCTCTTAGACTAGGTTGTCTTGGCCTCTTTAGAATTATATTCACTCAGTTGCATTTTGTTATTAATGTTTTAAAGGGCAGTATATAAGAATTCAAAGAGCTTGGGCTGGGGCTGTAACTCAGTGACAGAGCACTTGCCTAGCATGTGTGAGGCACTGGGTTCAATACTTAGCACCACATAAAAAAAAATAAGCAAATAAAATAAAGGCTTGCTATTCATCTACAACTACAAAAAAAATTAAAAATTCAGCTCATTTTAACATTTCCATAGAGATCCTAGGACCTTGTACATTATCTCTTTATATAACCCGTACCACCCCCCTCAATTGAAGCATGAGCAGGAATTTTTTTTTTTCAATTGTAGATGGACACAATATCATTGTTTTATTTATTTACTTTCATATGGTGCTAAGGGTCAAATCCAGTGCCTCACATGTACTAGGTGAGCACTCTACCACTAAGCCACAACCCTAGCCCAGGAAATTTTTTGATTGTCATAGTTGTCGATGTACTACGTAGCTGTCTCAAGTTTGACCAGCTATTTTACTCATGGTGTGCATTTGTTAATTGATTCAACCCATTTGCTGTATGTTTCTAATTTTGCCATTTTGATCTCTTTTTACCAAGTCTTAATTTCATAAATATATTATTTTTATTTATGATTTTTGTAATCTGATTTAAATTCTCTGAGGAGTGAGTTGAGTGTAAACTATTAGATGCTCTCTGAATAGGGACCACACTGAGCAAGTTTGTTTCATTTGGCTGCCTCCCTTTTTCTTGGGTTTCTGCTCTTAATGTTATAAGATAGAGGTTTGCAAAGTACTGCTAGCTTAGCATGCCAAAGTACATGCCAAATTCAGACTGCTCTCTGTTTTGGTACAGCCCCAAAACTAAGAAAAAATTTTATATTTTAAAGGGTTGGTGGGATGGGAGGAAAGGGGCATGCTACAGACACTGCATGTGGCCCACAACTTAAGTATTTACTCTCTGGTTCTTTACAGAAAGTGTGTCTATCACTTCTTTCCTTAGAGATCAGTGAACCTTGTTCCGAATATAAATAATGGGGGAAAAAAAGAGAAAGCTTTGTTTCATGTTGAATTTTAAAATCTGAATTCTCAAAAATCAAATCTGAATTGGTCACTTTTTCTTTTATCTTTTATTCTAAATATTTTTATTAATACTTTTTGTGACAAAATTGTGAGCATCTTTCTTTTTTTTAATATTTTTTTTGTAGTTGTACACAATACTTTCATTTATTTATTTATATGTGGTGCTGAGGATTGAACCCAGGGCCTTGCACATGCGAGGCAAGTGCTCTACCGCTGGGCCATAACCCCAGCCCACATCTTTATTTAACCTATTTAAAGGCTAAAGATTCTTTTCTACAGAAATGTACTCAGAAATTTGTTAATCTAGTTTTCCCAGAAAAGAGACTGATTCTTGATCAGTTTAGTAACTAGCAAAGTATCTTGTATATTCTTTAAATATATCTTTTATTTATACAGTATTTTTACAATATGTAAATTACATGAAAGCTATTAAGAGAATCTAATGCTATTTCTGTTGTGATTTCTAATTTTAGGTTGAATCATACATATAATCAGCTTTTAAAAGAGACTGAAGTTTTACAAACTGACCATAAAAATTTGAAAAGTCTTCTAAATACTTCTAAACTGGAACAAACAAGGTTAGAAGCTGAATTTTCAAAACTGAAGGAGCAGTACCAACAGCTAGATATCACGTCCACCAAGCTGAATAATCAGTGTGAGGTGAGCTTTAACAAATTGAATCACTACTTACTTCCTTTGGATATCAAAACATGCCTAAAAAATAAATAATCATATTGTAACAACATCAGCAGCATATAATTAGTGGTATGTTTTCAAAAGAATTGATCACAAATAATTGAAAATCACAAGTGATTTAGAAAAACCTACTTTATCTTTAATTTCATTCATTTTTATTATTCATTTAAACTTTTATGTCAGATACTTTGAATTGTAAAGTTATGTGTTTCCTTAGTGAAAAAATGTTTATGGTACACCTAGTGTGATACTATAAACCAGTAGAAAGGAAAATTAATTTGAAAGCACATACATTTAATTACCTAACAAAGTTAAAAGGTGCAGAGCATTCATTCTACCTATGATTTATAGAAATCTAAATAACATATAGTTAGGTAGGTGTACTTGGTAAATCAACTCCTCAAGAAATAATAAAATTGGATAGAACTGTCAAAAAATATTTTAGAACTCCAGAACTCAAGTAATGGCATACAGAAAAGTGAGAGGCACTTATTAGAGAAAAATTGCTCAACCTTAGAGAATAACTGTGGTTGGTTTTCTGAGGCATTTTTATCTTGTGGTATCTCTTTCCTCTGAAGTTCTAACAGCACAAAGTAAGCTGTAAAAACCAGCAGCACTGCTCTTAGAGAAGACTGGCTTGATTTTGAGCAGAGCAGGGAAAAGCTCCTTGCCCAGATAGCCTGAGATTAAAGTACATTGAGGCAAATAATTGACTAGCAAATTAGTCCGAAATTTAACTAAGACATCCAAGAAATAAGACTACCACAGTGAGTTTTGGTAGGTCTCACCAAGTGGTCTGGTATCTGGTATGCTGGTCAGGAGAGATCAGAGAAGGCCCTAGCTATCTGCTTCTGCCTGGCTGTCACAAGTTAGGACAAATGTTAATCTTTGGCTAGGGGTAAAGTCATGTAATAAAATGATTTGGAAAATGTAGAAGTCTAAAGTGTAAGAAAGAGGTGGGGATGGTAGTTAACCTTCGTGGGAAGAAAAGGTGACTGCAAAGTAGCATAGCAGTGTTACTGGAATACAATTAATGTTCTGTTTCTTGATTTGGGTGCTGTCTTAACATGTTAACTTTGTGATAATTCATTAAACTGTATATACACACTTAAAATTTGTTCTCTTTTCTGTATATATGTCTCGCTGGATGTGGTGGTGCATGTCTATAATCCTAGCAATGTGGGAAGCTGAAGCAGGAGGATCACAAATTTGAAACCAGCCTCACAGCAATTTAGCGAGCCTGTCTCAAAATAAATAAAGAGGGCTGGGGATGTGGCTCAGTGGTTAAGTGCCCAGGGTTCAATATATGTCTCATCCATTGTCTTTTAACATAATAACAACCATAAATCCTCAATGGTGATGAACAGTAAACATTTCTTTGTGCTTAAGAGTTTGTGCATTAGCCAAGCAGATGTACCAATCCACCCACTAATGTATAGACCAGTGATTTGCTTCTGCATTTATAGTTACCTGGTAGATACGCTGGGCAGCTGCCTGAGATACCTCTTTACTGTTTTATGTGGCTTCTCATCTTCTAGAAGGGTTTCAATAGACTGAGGTGAAGTATACAAGGCCTCTTGAGGCCCAGGTTTGAATTTTCACACATCACTCCCATTTATTCTTGGGCAAAGGCATTCCAAATTCAAGAAGAGGGGAAATAGATTCCACTGCTTGATGGGAAGAGTGAGAAGTCATAATGTAAGAAGGTGTGGATAGGAAAGAAAATAACTTTTTCAATGAATCTACCACATTATATTTCAATATAACAATATATAAATAAACCAGTCATGCTACAATATTGATATTTCTTGGATCAAGATGATTTTGTATGGTTATTCATAGTAAGTATCATTCTTCCTGATTTTCTTTACCTTTTGAGAATTGTTCATTAACTGTCTACTATGTGACATAGGTATACTTTATTTTCAACAGTTGTAGCATGGTAAGAGCTATTCTCATTTTATAGATTTGAGAATTAACTAACTTGTCCAAACTTTCTTAGCCACTTAAACAAAAGACCAGATATTTGATCTAGCTTTTAAACTATAAGTAAAACAATTTTTAAGGTAAAAAGCAGTATTTTGGGGCTGGGGATATAGCTGAGTTGGTAGGTAGAGTGCTTGCCTTGCATGCACAAGGCCCTGGGTTCAATCCCCAGCACCACACCAAAAAAAAAAAAAAAAAAAAGTATTTTGGAACAGATCATTTATGATATATTAAACCCAGTGTTTGAGGGAATAAGAAAATACATTTGTATAGCATGTATTCCAGTGCTGTACCTGTCATTATCACTAAAATAATCATTCATGTTCTGACCAAATTGAAACCATCTAATTGTTAAAACAGTGGAAGACTTAAGTCTTTGTGTAGTACTTAATATATTTTAAATGTTTTCGGTCAGGTGATTTATGTAAAATGTAAATGTTTAAAAAAATTTTTGTGTGTGTGTTTAAACAGTTGCTTAGCCAACTTAAAGGAAATTTGGAAGAAGAAAATCGACACTTACTAGATCAAATTCAAACTCTCATGCTACAGAACAGAACACTTTTGGAGCAGAATATGGAAAGCAAGGATCTTTTTCATGTTGAACAAAGACAGTACATGTAGGTATCAAATAATTTCACACTCTGAAATAGTAGTCATGATATTAACATTGCCATACCTGGTGACAGAGAAAATTTCATACTTATTTTTCTTGATTATCAACATTATTTGAATATGTGTTTTGAGTGCTTATATTCCAGAAACACTAACATGAAAACACATGGTTCCTGCTCTGAAAGAATTAGTAATATAAAGCAGTAAAGACAGGTAAATACTTTTTAATACAATGATGCTAAAGCTAGGTTTGGTGGTGCTTTCCTAGAATCCCAGGTACTTGGGAGACTAAGGCAGGAAGATTGCAAGTTTGAAGTCATTCTGGGCAATTTAGCAAGAAATTGTCTCAAAACAAAAAGGGCTGGAGATGTGGTTTAGTGGCAGAGTACTTGCCTACCATGTGTGAATCTCTTGATTCAGTTTCGAATACTGTCAATATAACACAAACACACATACACACACAATGGAGGTATGTATAGGGGTCCCTAGTTTCCAAAGATGAGACTTGAGCTGAGACTTGAAATTACAAGAAAAAATTTGCTTAAGGTACATACTAGACCAAAATTGATAACAATGCAAAAACATGGAGGTATGATGAGTGTGTTGTAAGAACTAAAAATTAATTATTATTTCTATAGCCAAACTGAAGGAGGAGGAACACTAGAGAAGTGGCTAAACCTTAGGAGCCAATTCACAAAAGTTTCTTTATACCATGCATTGGAGTTAAGATCAAATTACATGAGCCTGGGGAGGTAGTTCAGTGGTAAAGCACTTATTTAGGGTGTGCAGAGCCCTAGGTTCAATCCCCAGCATAGCAAAAAATTAAAAAATCAAATTATATGAAAGACAGAATTAGCCAGCTAAATTATTCAGAAGTTAAGTACATTAAGAATGGGGGAATTTGATAAGACTCAGAGATTTGGACCTGGGCAGGTCAGTGTATTATACCATGATTCACCTGTATTAAATTCTTCTTTTCCCTTTCCCCACTAAAATAAGAAACACCATAGTGTCATAGAAACTGCCAGCTGTTGAAATCAAACAGCTCCTAATTTATGTCCTAATTTTTCAGTTTTATCTGAAGACTACAAACAAGTCACTTCATTTCTTTGATCATTAGCTGCTGCCTCTCTAAAATAAAGATAACAGCTACTTCCATGACTATTCTAAAGTGTAAATGAAATAATGCTTTTCCGACTTGTTCATGATGGTAAGCCAAGGCACATCTGAAACCAAAATATATGTATTTTTCAAATATCTATTTTATTATAGAATTTAGGGTAGGGAGCATTTTTTATATTAATGCACATGGAACACAGGCAGAGTTTGCATGAATTTTTTAAATTTTTATTTTTAATTTTTTTTGAGGGGGCCATGGTACTGGCAGTTAAATTCAAGGGTGCATGCTAGGTAAGCATTCCACCACTGAGCTACATGCCTAACAGTTTTTAAATTTTATTTTGAGATAGTGCTGCCTTAAGCTGGCCTTGAATTTGTGGTCCTCCTGCCTCAACCTCCCAAATAGCTGGGATTACAGGTATCTGCCATCATACCCATCTCAGAGTTAGCATGAACTTTTAAGATAAATGCAAAACCTTAAAGAAATTTCACATTTGTTGCTGGCTACTTTGGACTACAGCCTTTTTAGGAATATATGTTCCTTTAGTCTCTGCCATATTGTAAATTAAAAAGCACTGAGTATATATAAAGTTCTTGGCATTTGAGTTTCCTGTTCCTTAAGCAGAGGTATTATCCAAAGTTTTGTCTTAATATTCTGACCCATGGTGACTAATTTATTTCCAGGGTTTAAGTGATGTTTTTGTATGGTTGATTTCCAAATATTATTATCCATTCTGACTCACTGAATATAAGTTAAAAATATCCTTATTTTATGTTGGACATTTCTAGCCAAATGCCTCTATCACATGATTCTGGCAGGAGTGACAGTGAACACAGGTAGTATTGAGAAGTTTCTAATGATCTTTCTTTCTTTCTTTTTTTGATACCAGGAGCACTTTACCACCGAGCCAAATCCCTAGCCCTTTATTTATTTTTAAATTTTGAGACAGAGTCTCACTAAGTTGCTTAAGATTTTACTAAATTGCTGAAGCTGTCTTTGAACTTGTGATCCCCCTGCCTCAGCCTCCCAAGCTGGTCGGATTACATGTGTGCACCATTATGCCCAGTTAAATTGGAAATTTGAAGAAAAGGAGAAATATGGAAAAAACCCATTGTTCTTCCTAATAAACAAACTTAAGAGTTGTCAATCATAGTGACCATTTGTTTACATTTGGGGAAGAAGTTATATCATAGTCCCAGAATAATTTAATATCATTCATAGCTGTACAAAACATGACTGCATGTCCTAAAACATTTTTATTTTTATAGTGATAAGTTAAATGAATTAAGACGGCAAAAGGAGAAATTAGAAGAAAAAATTATGGACCAATACAAATTTTATGACCCATCTCCTCCTAGAAGGTACTTTTAACCAAATTTTATGAATTTTTATTTTGGAAAATAAATTGTTCTAGTTTTGAAGACTTCTAATTCATGAGGAATTTATGTGTTGAATTTTTTAGACTAAGAATTTTTTAAATTATTCTATTAGGAGAGGCAACTGGATTACTCTAAAAATGAGAAAATTGATAAAATCCAAGAAAGATATTAATCGAGAACGTCAGAAATCTCTAACGTTAACACCTACCCGTTCAGACTCCAGTGAAGGACTTCTTCAGCTGCCCCATCAAGATAGTCAAGATAGTTCTTCAGTAGGATCAAACTCTTTAGAAGATGGCCAAACCCTGGGGACCAAGAAAAGCAGCAGTGAGTGCTCAAACTTTTAAACCTAGTGTTGATTTAGGAGTCCTTTCTAAAGATTTAAAAAACAAAACAAAAAACACTTAAGCAATCTTTTGGGAAAACAATCTGACATATGGTATTTCTTTTTAATCCAATATCAAATTAATCACATACTGCAGTAATACCCAGTCACATAATTTTCTAAAATATACTATGCATCATCATTTGGCCTGAGGGGTAAAATATTGTAGAAAGAACATAAGAGCCAGAATAGGTCTGCCACTTGCAGGTTGCAGATTGTTTTAACATGAGCAGTTTTTAACTTTGCTTTATACTTTACAGGGTGGTTATGAGAAACAAGTAAGAAATATGTATAAGATTTCATTTTCATAAATATTTATAATAATCAAAATAAGGCATTTATAATTGGGGTTTGCTCATATACTTTGAGCAATTTGATGGTTATCAAATTAGAGAGGGATGCTTGGGAAAAGTTTTGATTAAAATGAAATAAAGATGTGAATTGGCATACTAAACTTGTGATTTAACTTTTTATTACAAATTTTAGAAGTATCACATCATAACATGCTCTATACAATTTGTAACCTTTTTATTTGGCCACTAGTTTGCTTACACAGCAAGAGCAAAGTAAAAGCCTAACAAATCATATTTCAAGAGAAAAAAAAATCCAATGAGTTAACTATTAGAATTCTTAAAAATATATAAACCAGGTACTTTGAATCCTCTCACATTATCACCAATATAAATGACTAAATTTTTAAATTTTAAATGAGCACACACATAGATACGCCCCCATTCTTTTGAAATAAATAATAAGCAAAAGCAGCTGCTTCCCCAGAGATAGGATCTACACCTGAGTGATTCTCAGTATTCAGAAAACTGCACAGTGTTTGAGCTTCAGGTGAATTATCTTTGAAAGGGAACAGTTATTTTGGAGTGAGGATATTAAACATTTTATAACATGTATTTCAAAATACAAATATAATAGCCTGAAAACTAGAATCCATAGGCAAGCAACAATAATAGAAAGTAAACATGCATTCTTACATGTAAACACTAATCTCTAGAAAGCAGTTTTGATTCTATTTCTCCAAATAAAATTATTGTCATTCTAGGTCTTTTGCAATCTACTCTTGTCCACAAAGTTGTAGTTATTGTTTTAGAGAAAACCTAAAGTTTTCCTTTAAAAGATGTTTTAACTGTCTCCTTTAGATATAAAATACCTCACACTAAGTAAAAAATGGTAACACATCTACTTCTTTTTTTTTTTTTTTTTTTTAGTTAAACAAAGATGTTTTGATTCAGGTATGAGAGCATACACAAGAAAGGCACAGCAATCTCTTTTGAGGTCATCCTATCTGTTAGAAGTATAAATCTGTATTTCTTTCATGCTGTCTGCCAGAACATTCAGAAGAAGCAGAAGGATTCTTGCTTCCGCTTTCCTACAGTTGTTCATTTTTAGAATTTTTAAAGCAGACACAAAACCCAACAGTACTAATATTCCTTTAATTTTAAGTGTGCTTTGGAAAAAGAATATTGTATATTTCCAAACTAACTGCCATAAGAAGAATCACATTTCATCCCTGGCAAATTTAAAATTTTTTTATCGTATCCATTTTGGAAGAGTGTCTGTCTGTCAGTAGAGCAGTCTTTGAAAAACAGTTGAAAACAGAAAAAGAAAAAAGTGTCTAAACAAAACAATATGTGTGTGCATGCATGCTGCAACCACCCAGCTTTGTTTTAGCTAAGTGTCCATTTTTACATTGCTTTCGGTCCATTCTTTTTAATCATTGAAAACAGCTGTGTTTACCAAGTTTGAGTAGAAATAGGTCAGATTAAAGACCTTAGCAGTCAAACAAGTTAAAAAAACTGTATGTCCATTGCATTCTCTTTAATGAATGATGCTTTTCAACTTATTAAAAGAGGTTCAAAGATTTACAAAATGATAGCACACCCTGAGAAGGGGTGTGTAATGTGTTTTTAAGTCTTATAAAAGTTGTTTTCCCAACTCCTATATTACATTTCTGGGGTCATAATTTTTCGTATACTTAAGATAAATCTTAACTAAAATGTAGCTTATGAATGATTAAGTGACTCAAGTGAACATTTTAATTTTTATTCTAATGACTCCTATGCTTGAGTGGTAATCCCTTCACTGATAAAATTTTTTCTCGCAATGTGTTTTTAAATAAACTCATCCAAAGCACCCTTTGAAATGTTTTAAAATATTATATGCATTTTTATCTCATTTTGCTTACTTTGGGGTGTCTTTATCTTTTTCACTTTACCAGAGCTTAGTGCTTTCACTTATTACTGCTGTCAATATATTCTTTTTTTCCTTTTCCCCAGCCAACTTTTTGTAAAATGAACTCCACATAATTGCTTGTTTCATCTTTAGACTTTGGTTGAAACCATATGTATTTCTGTAGTACTGATAAATGATGCACTAGAAGACAGTTTAGATCAATATTTTCTTCATTAAAGTTTAGGGGGAAAATGAAAGGTAACTTCAAAAGTTTCTTTAGATTATTCAGAACATCTTTAGGGACCCCTAATTTTTTGTTGATGTGTTACAATAGAATGTACAGTTTCCTAAATTATTTTTTCTAAAATAAAGCTTTTAACTTCAAAAGTAAAAGAAAATAAGGGCTTAAAAAGCCTTGTACAGTTTCATCATGTACTTTATGGAACCAATAGCCTAATTTTTAAAGTTTGCCTTTATGATTTAACTAGAAAAATTGGTCCTTTCCTAAGTAATTCTAACCAATTCCTGTTTTTATAGTACTTTAGCCAATTTAAGCTTTCCAAGTATGTTCCTCATCATTGTCTTCAGTGCTTTTCCAAGTATTTTAAAATATCAAAGTACATATTTCATATTTCATTATCATTCAGCAGCATGAGAATAAGCTTTAATATAGCATACATAGCTGAAACTCAAAACATTCATTTCTGTCCTTAATTTCAACATTTAACTCCCATCTGTTCTTCTCCCTTTTTTCTTTCATTTCCCTGTTTCTGTTTTTCCCTCATGCTCTGACATTAAAGTGGTTGCACTGAAAAGACTGCCCTTTTTGAGGAACAGACCGAAGGATAAAGACAAAATGAAGGCCTGCTACCGTCGTTCCATGTGTAAGACTTTATGACAGTTCAGCTTCTTTCAAATGACTACACTAGATTCCATTACTAATTTTTCACTAACCTTTCTCTGGACTGTGCCAGTTTATTATTTTGCAAAGTGCAGTCTTCCTTTACTACAAGGAGCTGGAAGAATCTTTTTTTCAAAGTTTGCACTGAGTTTGCATTATATGTATTGTCTACTGATACATATACATGCATATGTTTAATAATACATGTAATATACTTTAAAATTTCCAGTGCTTTCTGAAAGTTGGCAGAAAAAAGAACATTTTATATGCCATGGAGATTTTTTTCCCTCAAGAAATTTACTTAAGGAAAAAATAACAAAATCTTTAGCATTAGGTATTTGTTTACTTAACAAACCTGGTTAAATAAATAAATAAAATGGCCTATAATCCTTGAAAATGTTTGTCATTCTTTATATAATAATATTCTGGGTTTCTTTTTTTCTAAGTGGAATGGGTAACTACATAATCACGTTAAATGGCTCTATCACTTTGGAGATCATCTCTTTCAGGTTTTTATTCAGTGGTGTACTTATTTATAAAATGAATAATTTCTTCAATAACCTGCTCTGACCAAGGACTCCTTCATTTTCAATAGTGATGCTATATAAGAATTGCTCTCCATCTTAATTCATTCCATTTTGTCACCACAAAACCACATTATGAAGGCTTCTAATTATATTGCACATCATTGCACAAAAGCATGGCAATTGTACCTAGTAAAATTCCTTTCTTTGTCTTTTAAAGCGGGTGGAGGTGGGATAAAAATATTTACTGAAACTTATCAGCCTTTGGCCTCCTCATTTCATTCAACTGAATGCATGTCATAATTCAAATGACCTCGTGGTTATAGTTTTTTTTAATGTCCATTTTCATTAGTTCATAGACAAAAATCAGATCATTTTTAATACAAAATAAAAATAAGAGCAATACATTAACCATGCTGATTCATTTGCTTTCATTTGCATCCCAGCCATGAATGACCTGGTGCAGTCCATGGTCCTAGCAGGAGGACAGTGGACAGGTAGTACTGAGAATTTGGAGGCTCCTGATGATATTTCAACGGGTAAAAGGAGAAAAGAATTGGGAGCTATGGCCTTCTCTACTACAGCCATCAACTTTTCAACTGTCAACTCTTCTGCAGGCATCAGATCCAAGCATTTGGTTAATAATAAAGGTATAGGCCGTCTGCTATTTGCACTGTGGTGTAACTGTTGACAACAGCAATTTTAATTTGACTTTCCCCTGTGTTCTTTTTTTCAAACAACCTTAAATAATTATCAAAACATAATCTGGATTTAATTTGGAGGAATTTCCAAAGCATTTCAAAAATTTAAAACATTACACAAATAGTTAAAATCTACTCTAGGCCTACTTTTATAATAAACAGCTGATAAACTAACAATTGAAAAGGAGAAGTATACCAGATAAAGAGTGAAAAAAGGAGAAAGAAATCTAAGTTTAAAAAACAAAACAAAATGTAAAAGTACTACATAGAACAATCCAGGTTCTTGGTTTACTTTCCAGGGCCACAGGAGTGATTGTTTCATTGCTTCTGACATTTTCCCTAAGCAAGTCAACTCTCATCAGAACTACTTGATTCTTTACTTCTATCTCCAGTTTCTGGCTGAATCTATGAAATATGTTAAGTCAAGATATATGTGATTGAAAAAGAACTTCTACATTCTGTGTAAATAATTTGTAGTGGTATTGTTTTGTTACAAAAATATGTTTATATCCATTTTGCTATTTTATGTAGATGCTACATCCTTTGAAGACATAAGTCCACATGGTATTAGTGATGATTCTAGTACGGGATCAAGAGTTCATGGTAAGATATGGTCCTTTATTTAGGGAGTACACATTAAATGCTAAATGGGAATGCTGACACTCTTGCATTGAATAGGTGAATGTGGCATTGCCAGCAAGCATGTTCTGTCTGTCCTGAATCTCACAGTTACTTCTGCCATTTCTTCAAACCTAATCCTCCCTTTTGTCCTTAATAATATTATTGTTTCTCTGTGTTTTCTGTTTTTTTAAATTTATTTAAATTAGGTATATATGACAGCAGAATGCATTTTGATTCATTACACAATTGCATCACAACTTTTCATTTTTCTGGTTGTATACAATGTAGTGTTGCACCATATGTGCAATCATACATGGACCTAGGATAATGATGTTCATCTCATTCCACCATTTTTCCTCCCTCCTCTTTACCCAATCAAAGTTCCTCCATTTTCCCATCCTCCCTCATTATGAATCATCATCCACTTATCAGAGAGAACATTCAGCCTTTGATTTATATGCTTTTTCTTTTAATCAAGGTCATTTATAAAATATGCCTGCACAATCTCCAAAGATAATTTTATTTCTATTTTTATATAAGCTTAGTTATAAGAGTTTAATTTTACCATTGGTTTGCAAATACTCATTTTGGCAAAGGATGAACTTTAGCAGAGTTTCTACAATTAAATATTTCAGATTGTTTAATTTCCACCTGAAATCATATGTTAAAAAACTAAACCATTATTAATAATAAAAAATGGATAACATAATAGAGGAATTTCATGGAATTTTAAGTGGGGTTTTAAGAAGTAGTAGCATAGGGCAGTGTGAACTGTATGGTTGTTTCTATCTATTGTAGATAGGACTACAATCTGAAAATGTCTTTGCTTTCTAAACTACAAGATTCACCTGTCTGTGGGCATGCTTAGTCTGTGAAAGTATGCATGATTGCTTTCTCAAAGCATTCTGTGATCAGAATGTACAATTCAGTGTTATCAGCTTAGAAATTTTATCACACTGTCTCCTGATTTTTTCATTTAGCTTCAAGACCAGCCAGCCTTGATAGTGGCAGAACATCCACTAGCAATAGCAATAATAATGCTTCACTCCATGAAGTCAAAGGTATGCTGTAGGTAAATTTATTAATGTAATCCATCCATTTCCAGTACTAATTAAAAGTTTGGGTGGGGCTGAGCCTGTAGCTCATTGGTAGAACACATGCTTAGCATGCACAAGACCCTGTTTTCAGTCCTCAGCACCAGTGGGGAACAAAGTTGGAGATGAGATGACATTTCCAGTATAAAGTGTGAAATACAAATCTGTGTTTGGAACATAGTCTTTTGAACATCTGTGTTTTTTTCATTGTAATACATATGTTTTTCAATGAATACTAATGTAAAAACAGGAGCAGTTATTTTGGTTTCAGTTTTTCATCTTCACAGATAAAATATTCATGTTGTACATAAAAATTGTTCATAGGTCCTTATACATTTTGTTGGACATCTAAGTGATTGTCCTTAATTTTCTTATGATACATGTACTTTAAACTTACATTAATCATATTTTAGAAATACTTTTAGCTTAATTTATCCACAAAATAAAATGAAGCTTTGTTATTCTTAATTTGAAAAGCAGTTGTGTGTGTGTGTGTGTGTGTGTGTGTGTGTTGTACAAGAACTATATGGATGCATATTGCTCATAGAAAGAATTATTTCAAGACTTCTTCGTCACTTCTTAAATATTCATTCAGAGGTGAGGCTTTTATGTTAAATGTATGGAAACTTTGACTAAAATCTTTTTCTTTTAAGATATACTGCCTTTTCAGATGCTGGAATTATTTAACCAATCTATTATAGTTATCCTGTATAGTCCAGAATTATCAAATTATATAATGAATATATTCTGGTGCTTTGAGGATTATAAAATTATTTCGTCGATAGTTGTAATTTCATCATGAATGCTATGGCATACTGCAATGATGTAAAATATCTGATTTTGAGGGATTTAAAAAATTTTTTTACAAGCATATTATGTCTAGTAGGAAAACATAGTATAAACTGTGAAGAATTTCTTTTTATTTGAAAATTTAAGAAAATGCTATTGCTGTGAAACGTTACATAAGTTGGGATAAATTCTTTCATCTCCCACTTTACTCTCTGTAATTAGGAAACCATGGAAAGTTTCATTTTCTGTTTTGATGTATTACACAGATTTTTATTGATCAAAATAAATCAGTACTCTTTAGGAATAGTATCAATTTTAGGGAGCTTTATTCCAGAACTAACTAATTTCCATTCTATATAATTGACCTTCAACTGAGTTTTATAAGACTATGTAGGCAACATACCAACAGTGGACAGTAGGAACAATAAGATGATTCATTAAGAGAAGAATAAAACAGTAAATATTTGATTTCATATTCTACTGGAGTTTTCTAACTAACTGTATCATGTCTCCATTTGACTTACTTATGTGTGTTATTTAAATTTTAATTTAAGTATTCAATTAGGATGAACAGAACCTTCAAATAAGTTAAGGGAACTTCACATAGAAACAAAGAACTAGAAATCTCTTCTTGTTTTACCTCTCTTTTTTTTTTGCATTCAGAACAGTTTTGGATTTTAACATCTTGAAATAATTTAAAATTCATGTAATCATGTTCTTGACTAAATTTTACAATTAATTGAGCCTGAATTTTTAAAAATGTATTATTCACTCATCTGTTTATTCATATATTTAGTCATGAGTATGTTGAATGCTTTCTTTGTAAGGGGTTCTCTTTAGGCTCTGAGAATTATGGTAAAAGCAAATTTTTGTCCTCATGGAACTTAAAATATCTGTCAATTTGACAAAATAAGGAAGCAAGCTGTGACAGATAGTTGTTAAACTGATGAAAGATTAATGTGGTTTACTAAGCAATTCTAAATAAAACCTGAAAGTAAGATTGACTATTCATACAGTAAGAGTCCCATCAACAAATATTACTGCTTACATAGTATTAATCTCATCTCTATTACTGAAGTCTCAACATACCATTTACTCCAAAAGCAGGTGCAGTTAATAACCAAAGCAGGCCACAAAGCCACAGCAGTGGAGAATTTAGCCTGCTTCATGATCATGAGACTTGGTCCAGCAGTGGTAGCAGTCCAATCCAGTACTTGAAAAGACAGACCAGATCAAGTCCAGTGCTCCAGCACAAAATGCCTGAAACACTAGAAAGTCGAGCACATCACAAAATCAAAACTGGTTCCCCTGGAAGTGAAATTGTTACTCTACAACAGTTTTTGGAAGAAAGCAACAAGCTTACCTCAATACAGGTTAGTTTTATGTATTAACATGAATATCACCTGGTGCAGAGGTTGTAATCCCAGGGTTCAGGAGGCTGAGGCTGAAGGATTGCAAGTTCAAAGCTAGCCTCAGCAATTTAGGGAGGCCCTACGAAACATAGTGAGATCCTGTCTCAAAATAAAAAAGGGCTGGGGATGTGGTTCAGTGGTTTAGTGCCTCTGGGTTCAAATCCATGGTGCCAAAAAAAAAAAAAGAAGAAGAAGAATACCACAAGTTAAATCACAAGTTAAATATCTGTTTGAACTTTAGAGCTTTTTAAAAAAAATTCTGGAGTGTTAAGAATTACCAGCATCTGTATATCATACAGCTCAGTATATCAGGAAAATCAAAACATGGCTGTATTTACTGATCTGTTTTAATTTTTTTTTTTAAACAGTTAAAGTCCTCAAGCCAAGAGAATCTCTTAGATGAAGTAATGAAAAGTTTGTCTGTCTCTTCTGACTTTTTGGGAAAAGACAAACCAGTTAGCTCTGGTCTTGCCAGGTCAGTAAGTGGAAAAGCCCCAGGGGACTTCTATGAGAGACGGACAACTAAGCCTGAATTTGTGAGATCTGGTCCTCGAAAGACTGAAGATGCATACTTCATTAGTTCTTCAGGAAAAACTACACCAGGCACTCAAGGAAAGATAAAATTAGTAAAAGAAACCTCTCTGTCTCGACAATCAAAAGATAGCAATCCTTATGCCACTTTACCTCGTGCAAGTAGTGTGATCTCTACTGCCGAAGGAACTACACGAAGGACAAGCATCCATGATTTTTTGACCAAGGACAGTAGAGTACCTGTATCAGTTGATTCACCACCACCTGCTGCTGATAGCAACATCACTGCAGCATCTAGTGAGTACCATTTACACCAGTGGTCCTCTCATGCATTTCACAGTTCAACACGTGCTGTAGATTCTCATGCCCAAAATGATTTAGCTACAGATATGCTTGAGTCTCTATCTGCCCTGACTAGAAGCTCAAGAACAGAAAAGTCACATTTTCCAAACCAAACTTTTGCTACTTTTAATATATCTAATGAGACATTTGGAATAGCAACTAAAGATAACATAGGATCACTTACTATGGTTCATTCATCTCAGCCATTCTTATCCCTGAATACAGAATTAGTTAGTAACATAAGTGGGTTACCTCTCAGATCAGTCACCAGAGATAGTGACCAGGTTTTTGCCCCTTCGGATAAAGCTGCAAAGAAAGATAATGAGCAGTGTTCTGATAGTCAGAACCCTAGTAACAGTAACTCACGGTCCTCTATAGATAGCAATAACCTTATCATTCCTGCATGCCTCTATCCTGATGACAAAGAAGCTGCATTGTTGGTTTCTGAGGATAATCAAACTGTTTGGTATGAATATGGTTGTGTATGATCAAATTTGCACAATACTTTGATGTTCTTTAATATGCACTGTGCTTCTCTAATCTGATTTGAAGAGCTGCTATTGAAAAGTATCATTTGGCTAGTTTTTTTTTTTTATTTGAAAATTGTGGCATTGTCTTCAGCTGTATGTGATGGCATGTATATATACATAAATGTGTAACCACACCAAAGCCTGCATGAAATATTAATTACATTGTACATTTTATGCATGACTTTAAAAACCTCAACTATATGTGCTCCTCTTTCACATTTTTTTGTCACTTGATAAAGAGGTTATTACATTGATATCTTATGCATGTTAAAATAGTTGCATGTTCTGTTACCAGTAATACATTTCAAAGTCATATTTGCTTTGTTGCTTCCAAAAAGCGAATGTCTACTCACTCTCCTTCTTCATCTTCTGCTCCTACTTTTCTCTCTCTCCTTTTTTACCCCAGAATGTGCACTTTATATTGCACATGTACAGTATTAGTAAGAAAAATATGTAAAAAAATCATTTTCTTATATAGTTTAACTATGCTGTCTGTTGTGCATACAAAGAAATAGTTAATAATGCAATTTAACATTTTGTGTAGCAAATTTTAATGATGCCCATTTTTATAAAATATTGTTTAGATTTAAGACATTGTAAATATTCATAAATTTAGTGTTACCCATTGAAAACACCTTCAAATTTAAATGTCATTTACACAGTGACTAGAAGCAGTTGTACTAATTCTCTTCTTTGCATTTTCCTGATAAATACAACAGTTTAAGTTTAATCTTTCCTTCAAGATGATTTATTTACTTGGAACCAGTTAACACAGTAGTTTTTCTAGTTCTTTTTTTATAGACTCAAAGAGAAATAAACAATCATACTCAATATGTTTGAAATTTTTGTATTTTTACTTCTATTTGAAAAGGGTAGCAAGTTTACAAAGTGAAAATCATCACTTCTGTAATTAATGATTAAAATATGTATGTATTTCCTTAAAGCAATTTTTTAAAATTAATACATTTTGCTAAAATGTACAATTAGGACTTGTAACCATTTAAACAAACAAATGTGTTTTTATAAGACAAATTATAGAACAAGAACAAATATAAACGCTGTAGCAAAAAACACGATATATAAGATAAATATAATATTTGCAAACTCTTAACTCCGTTGTCGTAAACTTTTTTTTAAGTTGTAGATGGACACAATACCTTTATTTTATTTATTTTTATATGATGCTGAAAATTGAACCCAGTGCCTCGCGCATGCTAGGCAAGTGCTCTACCACTGAGGTACACCTCAGCCCTGTCATAAACTTCTAAATTATCTTCCTATGTTAATATAACTTTTAAAGCAAATCAGATAAACTTGAATTTCTAATTCCCAGAATATTAAGGGAAAAAAACTGTAATCCTGATTCACTTACATCTGGAGGAATATATCTTAGATCTGTCTTTGGAATATTTTTGCCATTTTGGTTGAGCCTAACTATTACTGAAAATAACTCAGCCTGGAATCTGGAAGGAATGCCTTGAAATGTGACTTTAAGTAAGAAGGAATTAATTATTATTTTATATTCATTATTATTAAGCTGTTATTGGACTAGAGGAAAAATCACAGAGAATCTTTGCTTAATGAAATGTGTATCCTTGGTAAATTAAGTCTCATACTTAACATAAGATCATTTCACAGATTAGGTTCCTTCCATTTGGTCTAGTACAGGTAATCAGATGTACAAAATCAGAAATTTTCACCTTTTTTAGTACCACCAACTACACTTTCTGCATGGATACTTCATTCTATTTTACTATCAGTTTTTGCTCAGTTAGTCCTAACATTCCAAAATTTTGGGTACTAATATTTTTTTTCCCC